TTAAACCGAAGCAGCTGCAATGATTTGCAAAATGTGCTTCCCACTTCAAGCATTGTATTGAATGTAAAGTGAATGAGCCACAGCAAGAGACTGGACTATGCCAGATATCATTCAGGAACATGTATTGGGAATCCAGCCTTTGGGGGTGAGCTCTTCACCTAAGCTGGTTTTCCCTTCCTTCCTCAGATGGCACTTTCTCGACGTCGACTTCCCACTCGGATACATTTCTCACCTCATAATTATCTCCAAGCGTGCACAACCAATGGCAGGAGCATTGGACGCAAGGCAGGCATATCCTTGCAACTGGTAACACTTCTTCACCGGCCCAGAGATGACCATTAATGCCCTTTATTAAGGCCGTGGAGAAGACCAATAGGCTTCTTCTTGAGCCTCTGGGATGACTGCGTTGTCTTTGTCTTTTGCGGTGTGGCACTCAGTCACGCTGTCAAAATTTAGCTTTTACCTTCTGAGCAAGGGTTTATTATCATTAAAGTGCCATACATATTGACACTAAAAGCACTGCCTCTTTACTTTTCGTCAGTTACTGAATGCCTAAAAATACCTTCATTTAATGTACTTTTAATTCATTTTACCAAATCTTTACATATGACCAGCAAATTTTTCTGTGATACTCACAAGGCAGAGACAGCTATGTCACCTCTTGTTCCTTGATGCACCTCTCTCTCCAGTAACTGAGGCTCACATATATATATATATAAAAGAAAGCCAAACAGTTCTTCAAGGCATAATTGCTGACACATTCCAAATTGTTGCCATGCAGATGTGTTACATTTTTGGTCGCATAGAGTGAAATGAAAATCTTGTGTTTTTATTATTATTAGATAATTTCTCCACAATATCCTTTTTTTCAAAATCTTCGCCATATTGAGTCTTACCATGACAACAGTTTTGAATATTAACAGCCTCAATTCTGTTACTGCACTGATCATTTTTCCTTCTACAGCACAAGCACAGCCTTTAGGTTCTATGATTTTTAGTTGTTTCTTTTTGAATCCCTTGTTTTTGATGCACACCAACGTTATGTTCTAATGTAAAGACATTTCTTGTTTGCTGCAAGTCTTTATATGTCATAGAAATCCTCTTTTCAGATACTGCACAGCACTGCACAATGCTCCTTGCACTACTTTAGGTTGTGTAGAAGTTATTGCCACTGTGTATGTCCTAATGTCTATATATACTTTTATGTCTTCAGTTTAAACCTGTAGATTAGGTCAGAATTGGGCACACTGTCTGTTTATTTTACCTATATGTATAAAGGAATATTTAATTTTGAGTTTTCTCAGAAAAGTGCTCTCTGTGCATCAGAAATGCACAGTAAGATTTTAGAATGCAAGCACTTTTGATGTGTGTACATGCAGACATTATGAGATTTTATGTTATAAAAGTTTTTATATGGGGACGACCATTCTTTTAAAGCTCAAGACAAGCTATAATGTCCTACTTACCCCAGAAGGCCTCCAACCCCATCACTCCAACCACGTTGTGAAGTTACTCTTTATCTGAATTATATTTCTAAAGCATCTCCAACCTTGCAGGTGTCATTTTGAGCAGGAGAATAACATGGGTGCAGAAGGAGTGCGACCTCATATCATCATCATGCTGACTGATGGGCAGGCTACTGTGGGCATCAAGCATCCAGAAACAATATTGAAGAATGTGAGGGAGAGGAACAAGGAACGAGCATCTATATTTTGCCTTGGCTTCGGCAAAGAACTGATATGAATTGCTAGAGAAAGATAGCACATCAAGTAAGTAATTTCTGAAATTTTCTTTTCTTTTTTACCCAATTAGTAATAAAAAACTGTTTTGCATAAGGCAATGTCTGCACATTTTCAGTTTCTATGTTATGTTTCTATACAAAAAAGTTTCAGGATTACATTGTTACCTGTGGAAATAGATCCAAAGACAGTATTATTAAAATTTTCTGTTACAGAGTTATTCCCAAAGCAGTAATAAAAATTTATAGAAAGGTTAAAACAACTGTTAGACTGTCCTGGTTTTATTTAGGGTAAAACACTTAAGTGAAAGGCCCATTTTAGGATTTTTTTTCCTTTGAACAATATTGCTTTTTTCCCAATTTGACTTGAGAGATACAAAGGAGGCATATGATCTGTTATGTTGATACAATCAGAAAATGCAGAATTATCTCTACTTTATATATATATATATATATATATATATATATATATATATATATAATAATATTAATATATATATACCTTCTTTTTTTATAGAAGTGTGATGTATTATCTATGTTCCTCTCTTTGCTTGTTCTAGTACTAGTAAGTATTGAGAAATGAGGGGACATTTGAAGCTAGTAAGGAATTGATAATACTTTTTTATAGGTCCTGAAATGTAAGTGTAAATTCATGTATTTTATTTTATCATTTCACATTAAAAGTTACCTAAAAAGACATAACATTAGATATTTCTCTTTCAAATGCAGATTACTTACATATCTTTCTCTTTCTCCAGAACCAGGGTAGTGCTCGCAAAATCTATGAGGATATCGATGCTGCTGAACAATTAAAGGATTCTACCAGGAGCTGTCTACGCCCCTTCTCTTGGATGTGCAGTTTAGCTATTCCGATGATGCTGTTCAGATGAATAGTCTTAGTAGCACCCACTTCTACAACTACTTCCAAGTATGATGCCTTTTTTTATTTCTTTTTTTTTTTGACAGTATATATGATTTATGAGTCATTTTATGGGAAATTGAAGTCGATTGTCAAATTTTAATTCAAACTGAATGTAAAAAATGTGAAGTCATTCCTGGATAATTTCTATAGGTTACTTGAAATACAACATATGATTTTTTTTTGATGATTATGCTATTTTTTTGTTTAGGATAGGATTTAGTTTCGTGATAAATATCCTAATTGATAGCACACTAACATATTGTACATTACCAAATTTGGACAGATATCCAGCAATAACAAAAAATTAAGGTAATGGCTATTAAGAATATTTAAAAGAGTACTATCAGGCACAAAAGGTAATCTGCAGAAAGCAAGGCAAGCCTGCAATCCTTTATCAGTCTTCAAATATATTCATAATGTTGCGGCCCTAGACTTCACAAGGCAAAATGACTTCTACTTCAGCAAGATAAAGCTTATCAACATTCATAGCTATCTATTAGATTAAGATACTGTCCAAGCTCTGTCTTGTAAGGAATATACATGATGGACATTTGTTGGCCTATCCTATTCAGAACATATACAAAATATTAGAATATACAGTCTTTTTCATAAGACATTACTATAGATTTGTTTGAATCTTAGTGTTATATGATAAATGGATACTGTCAACTATCAGGAATTCCTTTCTCTAAAAGTAAGGTTGATTTTTCTTTATCTTACAGGGTACTGAGCTGGTAGTGACAGGACAAACAGAATTAGACAATTTGAGTGGGATAAAAGCCAACATCACTGGACAAGGAAGGAACGGACACTTCTTCATGGGTGTAACAGGCTGGAATACAGTTAATCCGCCTGACAAGCACCTTCTTTCACACTTGCATCTTGCTCCTACACCTAAGAACTTCATTGAAAGGTTATGGGCTTTCCTGAAAGTAAAGGTATGATGTATAATAGATTTTGTGCCATTTTTCTTTTGTATAAGATATGCTCTACCTATCATATGATATAATTTTTAGGTTTTATACTTCTGCAATATCGATCTTCTTATTATAAGACATCAATATATCTACTCTATTTTTGTATATAGGATCTACTTAACGAAGTAAAAGCAGCCAAAGGAAACCATGAGAAAACTTCGGCACAGAGAAAGGCTTTGAAAATAGCACTTGAGGTAAAGATTAGACTTAATTTTTCGAATTTTGTTGTTACTTGATTAGTTCACTTATACAACTCTTCATTATTTAAGAAGATATTTGCAGCTCTTTCTTATGTTCCTAGTATTAGTCTAGTGCTTTTCTATCTGTCTGTTTTTGGGCAGTTTTGATTACAATTTATTTTTACTATACTTGTTATCACTAATGTATAATACATGTAACTTCCACTTAGATAAGGTAAAAAATATATATATATATAGCAAGTAAGGCTAGATTCTAATATTTTTTTTCTTATCCTTTTTTTTTTTTTTTTACTTTCAGCATCATTTTGTTACACCACTGACATCTTTGGGGTAGTACAGCCAGATCAAGAGAACTGCAAGGATTACGAGGATGAATGAGGAAGAGGAAGTAGAAGAAGGCACTCTTGATCAAACAGCAGTACCGAAAATGGATGATAATTCATCCCTTTCTGACTCCTTGGATACACAGGACTCAGTTGTCAGAGTTTTTGATCCTGCCTCCATTCAGGTAAAAGAATTGATTTTACTATAGAGACTGGAAGCATTTTGAACAGGAGATTGACTTGCTAGAAATAGCAAGAATTCTTTTGTTTCACCAAGATTTTCACTTAGCCATAGAAATTGGATTAAAGGGTTGCATATAATGATGCCTTCCATCATTATTGTATTGTGATTGTAACTTATCTATAGCTGTGATATCTTATTTTTTAATGAAATTACAATAGGAAAATTCTACAGTTTATCTAGATCGAGATTCTTTATTATCTGTGGCTTCTTTGCTTTTATCTAAAAACTGAAGGCTTATCTTTTGAGTTGACAATGTTTTTAATTAGAATGGAAAGACAGTATATTGTATATATTCATGAAATAGGTGTGATGGATATAAATGATGAATTTGGTTTCAAATTACTTAATGACAGTGCACTCATTTTAGGAAATGTTTTGAATATCATCTATTCATTATGAATAATTATGCATTAATGAAATATAGTTCATAACATAATATCTGTTAGATTTTGTGATAATTAAAGATAGACTTGAAGATAAGAAGATAATTTCATGACATGCTCTACATAATTCAACATATTTTGAAAGTAATTCCTTTTTGTGAAATCATTTGATAATATAGTTACTACAAATGCCATAAAATTATTTGAATTTAA